AAAAAAAAAAAAAAAAAAAAGTGGTACCTGAGGCTTGAGGAATAAGGAGCTCAGACTTAAGGAACAGAAGGCTAAATGGAATTGCATCAGCACAAGTGGCCACAGCTGCTAGGCCCTGGCAACTTGGGCATCCACCACCCTTCAAGAGTCAGATAGCACCTGTCCCAAAGCAGCTCCCAGAATCTGCCTGGCAGTAAACACCAGCAGGAATGCCTACTGAGAACAACACTTGGGTGGCACTCACTGTGTCTGCAAGTAGACACTGAGCACCCTTGGTACGTCACCCGACATGTGACTGAAAAACCAGGCCCGACAAGTTAGGGTTAGAATATAGTCATACAACTGATGGTGAGTCAGTACACTCACAGACTAAACCAAGATGCTTTCAATACATCATCTCCATCCTAAAACAATACACATCAATCTTCAAGATACAAAACAAAGTAGACTTTTTTGTGAATGGTGTAACTATTACATTATAGTTTGGGGCTTAAAAAATTAGAAACAAGATGACTACAGCTATGGGTGTTGCTCAGAGGCAGAGGGCTTCCTAGCATGAGCTAGGACCTGGATTCCACACTTAGCATGATCAAAAAAAAAAAAATTAAGATGTGGCTCAAGTGGTAGAGTGCTCGCCTAATAAACACAAGGATCTGAATTTCCCACACAATATTCCTCACCATTCAGTTCCTCTCTGTTGATTCTCACAGACTCGAGCTGGGACCACAGATGCCTAATTTCTTCTTGTGATTGGGCCTTCAGGTTTTCGTAGGATGCCTGAAGATTCTCTAACTGTGGAAGAACAAAGTGTCTACATGAGAGTCTAAGATGAAGGCAGGGCAGTGCTTTCATGGCTCTATGCTACTGCTTCTATTTCTCTGGAACACCTCAGGGCCTTGCATCTGACAAGCAGGAATAGAGCATATGTAGGTTAAGAGATCAGATATCAAGCCTGAGGCTCAGAAAAAAGAAACAACCATCAGAAGGAAGGAACATAAACAGCTTGATGCTTAAGAGGCCAAGGTCAGAGCCAGTGAGCTCAATGGCATACACAAGCCTTCCCAAGCACTTAGGAGGCTGAGACAGGAGATCATTCCAGCCTAGGAATTTGGGACTGCCTAGGTGACATAGTTAAGACCCCCATCTCAGAAAGTAGGGCTTGGAAGGTGGTTCAGTGGTAGAGTGCTTGCCTTGCATGCATGAGGCCCTGCGTTCGATTCTTCAGCACCACATAAACAGAAAAAAAACAGAAGTGGTGCTATGGCTCAAGTGGTAGAACTCTAACCTTGAGCTGAAGAGCTGAGGGACAGACCCAGGCCCAGAGTTCAATCCCCACAACCAAAAAAAAAAAAAAAGAAAAGAAAAAAGTAAGCTGGGCACCAGTGGTTCACACCTATAGTCCTAGCTACTCAGGAAACTAAGATCTGAGGATCACACTTTGAATCCAGGCCGGGCAGGAAAGTCTATGAGACTCTTATTTCCAATTAACCACCAAAAAGACAGCAGTGGGGCTTTGATTCAAGTGGTAAAGCACCAGTACCCTTGAGCAATAATGCTAGAGGAGAGTGCCCTGGCCTGATTTCAGGCCCTAGACCCAGCACACACAAAAAGAAAAAGGTAATAGTAACTTCTGGGTTTGTTCACAATGCAACTTGAACTAGAACATGACCACGGAGCAGCCTGGTTGAGTGTTTGCTGGTGTCAGTCACAGCTGTGCCATTCTCCTGAAGCAAGCTATGCTATGGGCAGTGACATCTGAGTGGGCCCACACAGAGCAGAGCGTGGTCACAGTAACAAATCGCTAATGGATCCACAGCAAGCTTAGTGATTCTAGTTGACATTAATGTTGAACTGCCTCAAAGCAGCAGGGGTCCACAGAACTTATAACTCTCAAAGTAAGGGGGCTCCTCTTTTATATGTTCTTACGTTTAATAAAAAGCATGTTCTGAGTGTAGAAGCTCTCGCCTATAATCCTAGCTACCCAGAGGCTGAGATCTGAGGATTGAGGTTTACAGACAAATCAACAAGACTCTTATCTCCACTTAACCAGAAAAATGCTAGAAATTCTAGAGGCATGGCTCAAGTAGTAGAGCACCAGTCATAAATGAAAAAGAGTGCCAGGCCCTGTGTCCCAAGCCTCCAACCTGGTGCACATGTATACATACATGTGCATGCACATGCATGCATGCACACACACACGTGCTCACACACACACAGAGGCAGCAGGTTCTCTTATACTTTATACTACACACTACTACTACTCCATCCTGTCATCTAGAGTCAACATCTAGGGCCAGTCTTGGAGGTTCACATCTATGATCTCAGCTACTCCAGACAAAATAAAAATCTCAATTCAAGGCCAGCCTTGGGGGACGAAGAGTTATCAATGCCCTCCCTCACTCCCTCAAAAAAATACCTTGGGGGCTGGGAAGGTGGCTCAGTGGTAGAGCGCTTGCCTTGCATGCCAGAGGCCCTGGGTTCTATTCCTAAGCACCACATAAGCAAAAAGAAAAAAGCCAGAAGTGGCACTGTGGCTCAAGAGGTAGAGTGCTAGCCTTGAGATGAAGAGCTGAGGGACAGTGCCCAGGCCCAGAGTTCAGGCTCCACAACTGGACCTAAAAAAAAAAAAACCTTGGTAAGGTAGCATGTGTATTCCAGTTACCCAAAAAGCAGAAATATACTGGGCATCAGTGGCTCACGCCTGTAATCCTAGCTACTCAGGAGGCTGAGATCTGAGGATCACGGTTCAAAGCCAGCCTGAGTAGAAAAGACCCCATGAGACTCTTATCTCCAATTAACCACTCCAAAACCAGAGGTGACACTGTGGCTAATTAATCTCCAACTAACCACTTAAAAACCAAAGATGACACTGTAGCTCAAGTGGTAGAGTGCTACCTTGAGCACAAAGAGGCTCAGGGATAGCACAGGTGCCTAAGCCCCACAACCAACAACAACAACAAAAGGCAGAAATAGGAGGATGTTGGTCTAAAGCTGGCTTTAGAGCAAAAGCATGAGACCTTACCTAAAACAAACAAACAAAAACTAAAGCAGGCTAGGCATAGTAGCTGTGTGGTAATCCCAGCTACTTGGGGGGCAACAACCAGAAAGAGGAGTTTGAGGCCAATCCAGTCAAAATGTTAGTGAGACTCTATCTCAACAAGTAAGCTGGGCTATGATTCCAGATAGATGGAAGCCACAGGGAAGAGGACTATGGTTCAAGACTGGCCCTAGGCAAAAACTCCAGATCCCATCCAAAAAATAACTAAAACAAAAAAGGTCCCCGACAAAAAAAGGTCTAGGATGTGGCTGGCTCAAATGGTAGAGTGCTTGCCTGATAAACACAAGGCCCTGTGTTCAAACCCCAAAACTGTGCCTCCTGAAAAAAAAAATCTACAAGAGAACACCTTGACAAGCTGGGCCCTGTCATGGGACTCTCAAATTTTAGACACTGAAGACCACACAATGATGTCACCAGGACCAAGGTGGAGGAGGTGGAGCTTGGGTCAGACTAATAACACCCTCCTATGACACCTCCTATAACATCTGTGCACAGCTTGGGCCCTCCAGGACCAGCTAGTGGCTGCCCAAGCAGGACCCTGGGCAGGCACTTTCCAGCAAGCTCTGCCTCTGCAAACTTATCAACATGTTATGGAAAGGGGGAGGAACAAACCACTGTACGAGTGTTATCCATAGAGGGGTTAGTCCTCCTTCTTCCCACAAATCCCTGCTCGGCTCAGTGCTCCTCATCAAGCAAGGACTTGTCCTTGTGACTGTCAGTGGGGAGGTTTCAGTGCAGGGTCAGAGCCTGGCCAGGAGGGAGGGGCCAACAGACACACATGCTTCACTGTCTCTCTTCTCACAGCCTCATGGTAACTGGAAAATATGAAGCATCACAGCCTCTCTGGGATCTGGCCCAACCTACTTTTAGGAGCTGGCACAGAGTTGTTCTCAGCTCCCTCAGTAAGAGCCTGATGGAAGGGTCTAAGGTCACAGAGGATGTGAAATACCACAGCTTGGCCTCTGCACAAGAGGCCACAGACCCCAGCGCCCCAGGGTACCCAGCAGGTCTCCCAGGCCCCAGGACTGGACACTTGGGCTTCTCAGGCCTCAGGCATGTAATTCCAACTTGTCTTATTCTGTTTTCTTCTTTCAGATTTCTTTTTTGGGGGGACCTGGGCGCTGTCCCTCAGCTCTTCAGCTCAAGGCTAGCACTCTACCACTTGAGCCACAGCACCACTTCCGGCTTTTTT